CACATTGCTGACATATTCAGCTTATCATCCAATGTAACCCACAGGTCCTTTCCTGAAGAGCTGCTGCCCAGCCAATCGCCCCCAGCCTGTACTGGTGCACGGGATTGTTCCATCCTAAGTGCAGGACTTGGCACTTGTCCTTGTTGAACCTCATGAAATTTCTTTTGGCCCAGTCCTCCAATTTGTGTAGGTCACTCTGAATCCTAGTCCTACCTTCTGGTGCATCTATTACGCCCTTCAGCTTGGTGTCATCCGCAAATTTGCTGAGGGTGCAATCCATCCCATCTTTCAGATCATTAATGAAGATATTGAACAAGGCCGGCCCCAGGACTGACTCCCAGGACACTCCACTTGATACCAGCTGCCAGCTAGCCATTCAGCTATCGATTACTACCCACTGAGCCCAACAATCCAGCCAGCTTTCTATCCACCTTACAGTCCATTCAACCAACCTGTACTTCCTCATCTTGCTTGCAAGAATGTTGTGGGAGACGGTATGAAAAGCCTTGCTAAAGTAAAGGTATATCACATCCACAAAGCCAGTTATCTCATCATAGAAGGCAATCAGGTTGGTAGTGGCGTGACTTGTCCCTGGTGAATTATAGTTGAGAATACTATGTTAAGCTGTGTTATTTCTCTTCCCCCACCTACCTCAGCTACATCACAGTTTGTAGGGTCGGAAGGGACCTGAGCAGATCATCGAGTCCGACCCCCTGCCATGGCAGGAAAGAGTACTGGGGTCAAACGACCCCAGCAAGGTGTTCATCTAGCCATTTTCCTTCCTTCTAGGGCCTAGCATTGGCACTGCCCATGCCTAGCCCCATACACTGGGATTGGGTGCTGGATCCAGTACACAGGACTTGGGGCTCCCCAGGGGTCTGGAGATTTGGCAGCAGGGGAGCAGTGCCATTGTGCTCCTGCCACCAGATTTCCAGAACCACAAGGAACTCCACCGGTCAGATGTCAAGGCCTCCCGGGTCAGAGGTTGAGCACCCCTCCTGCACTAAGAGATCCTTCAGGATAACGAGCACCACACATTGATATAAAATGATGCTGCTGTTTTAGCTTACGATGACTGCAAAACCATCAAGAACCATCCAAAATGCTTCTTCTCGTGCTGTTCATACAAACACAGATTTCATCCAAAATGAGTAAGGCACAGTTGCTCCCGAGCCTAGAATATCCATTCATTTTCAACTTGAAACTGATTTTAAAGGCTGAATTCTCACTCAATCCCCAGAGAAAATGGGGGCTACACCAGAACAGAAAGGCTGACTGCTTCTTGTTTTGTCATTATAATATACTTGTCTGCAAGGCAGATACAGTTACACTGCCATCCTCCAATGTAAATATACTCCCAAGGTATTATCTGATGAAAACCTTGTGTTTGTACTAGGTCTGTACAGAGTGGTTCAGATTAAACATCAACCATTGCCAATTTTATTACCTCACTATTAGCAGGCGCTGGCATCAGCCGTGTGTGGGGAAACATATGCCTAGTTAAAATATCTACCGTCACATCATTAGCTGTATCAATTAGAGGCCTCCAAATGCACAGAAGCTTTACTGCCTCTTCTGTGGCTCTCACATACTGTGGGGGTCTTATGAGCGAATGCTGCACATAATGATTTATCATGTAACCTGGCATCTCCGCTCAGAAATGCAGGCAAAGCATTGTCAAGTGCTCCAGTTTTCTGGCATTACCTTGGCAGATCGTTGCATCCCTCAACAAAAATGTATAATAGAAAGAAATGGGCTGTATAGGTCTGTGTTTGCAAATAAAGGGCCTTCTCCAAAGCCTACTGACTTAAATGGAAAGATTCCCAAAGACTTGACTGTGTTTTGGATCAAGTCCCTCATACTGAACGATCCTCAATCATGGAGTGAGCAACAAAAAAAAAGAAAATGAAACTATTTATATGGTTTCAGGTTGGTGTTACATATTTCAGGATAGGCTGCAGAAAAGAGCAAACCACTGAAGAAGAGCAAGCTTTGAGCTGCATCGCATTAGCTCTCTTTGCAAGCTAAATCATTTCTTCTCATAATATTCCCCAGCTCCTGCGTCACCTAAAGAACCTTCCCTACTAATCTGTCTTTGGTTTCATTTGCTTGGTTGTTTTTTTTTAATTGACAGTCTGCTCAATCTGCATTTGTGTCCCTGTCCAGAAATTTGATACTGTGAAATGGGCACCTTAGACATATAGAAAATAAGCAACACAGCTACATACCAAATTTGAAAGCAGGGGCAGGTGAATTGGTTCAGATAAAGGCTCACACCTTCATCTCAGTGCAAAACCTAAGCTCAAACGTCACAAAAGTTTAGTCCCCTCTTACCTGATCATTTTATGTCTTTGTGCACTTCTGCACTTAACAGTTCCTGCTGTGCTAGGAGCAGAAATGACAGATTGAGAAAAAGACCTCTGGAGTTTCCAGAGACTGCAGATAAGAGAATACCTGGAGATGGGACAGATGCTGAAGTGACACCCAAACCGCTCTCTTTTCCAAAAGCGCTAAGGTGGTAACAAACAATATGTGGACCTGCACCGCATTTTACTTTAAGTTTTGCAAAATCCAAAGTCAATTGCTCTTGTTCTATTGAAAAAAAGTAATTGGGAAAATGCAATAGTGCTTTAAAAGACTAATTTTCTAAAAGAATGGAGGCATCTACACATGCATATTAACATGATGCAATAAACTCTGGTGCTTACTGCACCGGAGTTTATTGCTCCCAGATGTGCGTTTACACGTGAGCTCAGACTCATGGCACATTGACCCAGGTCTCATATTCTGCTTCAGTGCAGGGGCTGCCCGCTGGCTAGCCCCGTTCTGAAGCACCATCACGCTCCCGCCAGCCCCTCCGCCGCATGCCAAGCGGGGAAGGGCAGCCCAGTTAGAAATCAACCTTGTTAGATTTCCAGACCGATTTCTAAACTAAAGTTGCAAATGACCTAAACTTAGAGGTTTGCACATCACTCTTATGCTTATCATTATAAACAACCTGATTTAAAAGCAGCACACCTTAACTGCACTCCACAATTTATCTGGGAGCAGAAGCACTCCACTTACATTTGCAGAGGTATTATTCATTTTTCTTCGTTTCTAAAATGTTTTTGTTTATCAGAACAATTTTATAAAAAGAAACAATAATACACAGAACCCGCCCAAATGTGATGCTGCCTGACGTGATTAATACAGTTGTCTTATACAGTCTGCAAGGGTTTTGCATCATTTAGTATAATTTTTCACCGTGTTTCAATGCTGTCAAGTCATCATGCAGAATAAGGTGAAAAGGTTTGCCTGTTACTGCAGCATCCATGCACATTTCAGACATCAGAAAAGTCTTTAGGCTCCCTGACCAGTCCCTCCAAGGACATTTTAAAGATTGCCCATTTACTCTGATTTAGTATCATTGCAGACATATACCAGCTAAAAAGTTCACTCCCCCCACCCCGGTTCCAAAGTCTTGATGCCCTATTTCTCTGTTCACTTTACTAAAGGGTTCCTTTTCTTTTGTTATATATTAGTCGCTATATGAGGGAACACACTCCAAAAGACTTTGCAAAAAGCTATTGTACAATTTTCAAAACCTTGTCTTTTCAGAACATACAAAGGTTTAACATTTCAGACCTAGCATGGTGAAGCTCCTATCCACAGCTAGTTTTCACTTCCAAGCCAGAGATGATGCAGCGACGTGAAATCACTGCGTAATGAGGACTGGATTGTCTGGAGTGGTTGGTTTAGGGCACAGGTAGTATGCAACTCAGCCTTTTGCTTTGGAGTGACCAGTTCAAATGCAGCCCCAAAACAATGGGCAGGTCTTTACAATGTGATGCAGTTTGGAGAAAATAAAATGTGTGTAGTGGTCTCAGCCTAAATTCACGTTCAACCAGCACTTACAAAAAACCCACACAGCATGGCTGCCTCTGCTACAGGGGCAGGCAATTATTTTGGGTGGAGGGCTGCTTACTGAGTTTTGGCAAGCCATCGAGGGTTGCATGACAGGCAGCCCAGGGCAGATAAATATTAATTTTCTAAATTGTTCAGGGGCCCCGTGGGTCAGACAGAATGGCTTGGCGGGCTGCACTTTGCCCCCCCCCCTAATTTATAGACACTGACCTGGCCTTTCTATTCTAGAAAAGGTCAGAAAAGAGGCATATAGAAGGGCCATTTGCACTGTTTCTGTATGTGCTCTGTGAATAAAGGGAGGACTTCAGTGTCCAGGGTGGCCAGCTGACGCCTTCCATGCTTACTGTATTCACAAAACATATCTGAAAATGAACTAAGGAGAAAATGGCTCAGTAAGACATTTTTGAAAGGCCTCAGTTTGTCACTTCCCCCTGTATACCATTTGGAAATAATAGGATCATTCTATTTTCAATTCTAAATATATGTTTAAAAGTAGACAAGGTTCTTTGGGTAAATGTGATACCTTTAACTAGACCAACTAAATAGTTGGAAAAATTGTTCTTTGCAAGCTTTCAGGCACAAACACCCTTCTTCAGGCATAGGGAGGGTCTGCTGGTGTTTTGTGTTCTCCTGAACGGAATAGAAGCCAATATGCAAAATGCAGGTTGTGAAAATACAAATGCCGGGCAGTGAGGATCAGAGGCCATGGGAGACGGTAAGTGCGAGACAGGTAGGTGGGGTGAGGAAGGAGGTAACGCTGACCTGGTAAAATGTAGAGAGGTTGCCTAGGGTTATCGAATGGCAAGCAGGTTACCATCTATCCACGTTTAAAGGTTTCACTGGGTGCAGTTTACAGGCAGAGCAATATAATGGATGAAAGGAGATAGGAGACCTGCTCCTGATTCTGCTTTTGATGTGATGTGTGACATCAAGAAAGGTCACTACCTCTCTGCGACTACCCTTCCACTCCCACCCTGTCTGCCATGCTTATTCAGCCTGTAAGCACTCGGAGGCAGAGACTCTCACTATGAGTTTGACTAGCAACCATATGTAGGGGTACTGTGATGGTAACCGCAGCAGCATCAACGACTTACCATCCATATCAAGACGTTGCATGATAATTGCCAACTCCACCTCACTGGGCATGTATCCCAAAGAGCGCATAGCCATGCCCAGCTCCTGCTTGGAGATGAAGCCATTCCCATCTCTGTCCAGCACCCGAAAGGCTTCACGGATTTCTGAAATAATGAAGCAAAGAAGAAGGGTGAAATAGTGCCACAAGGCATCAGTCTCTGGTTGACGCACCAAAATACAGCAGAATCATATATCTCCCTTTATCCTGAGAATAAGTGTTTGTGCATGTGCAGGATATTATTGACTCTAAGGCTTCAGGGCACAAGCCATGCAGCAGACCTCAAAAAATACTTGGCAAAAAATACAGAATTGTTCAGCCTGGGAATTCCTGCACCTCTCTGCGGTATCTGACATTGATCGTTGTGTGATGTAGATGAACTGCTCCATACAGCTATTTCAACGTTCCCGTAATAATAAAGTAAATGCTGCAAACAGACACATAACAGAATATTTCATCCAACAGGTTCCAAGTACTTTTCAAACTGTATAAATGAGCCTCTTGGCACATTTGTCAGCTGGTAAAGAATATCCATCATACATGCAGAGTCATAAGACATTTACCTATGGCAGGGTTATAGATCCCCAAGGCATGACCATTTAATGAGGTCATCCACATCATCATCTTCATGTTCCAAGGCAGAAACAGAATAACGGAATAATTTCAATTGTTAAATAGTTACACCAACATAAATGAGAAGCAATTTTGGCCCACAGTCTGAGATATGTCTAATAGAAACAGTCTGAGGGCTTGTATCTCCAAAATGAAGCCCTAAATGCTCATTTTCTTCCTGGTCCAATAAATCAGGATGGAAATCTTTTAAAAAAAAAACACAGGCACCTGGGTAACTGCTATCTCCCAGTACTTTTCGTAGCATTCCTCCAATTTACAATTGTTTTATTGCTATAAACAGCCTCAGATCAATAAAAACATTGTAAGAGCCAAAGGAATCACTTCCATCATTCTTCCCAACCCTGGCTCAGCTTTTGACGTCTGACTTTGTGTTGTTTTTTAATTCTGGCTTCTTCACCTGAAGCCCTTTATAGCTGCTTTAAATTCCAGGCAACTTAAGCCAAGAGCACCTGCTCCTGGGTGTCCATATTCTGACCATGCTTTGATCATGTGGCTGGTACTCCCAAATCTGATGTATTTTAGGGCTGTCTCAACTTTGAAGTGCCACTATCAAGATCCCTACGGTTACTAATCTTGGGTTGTTTAAAAGGCAGGACGCTTTACCTCATGGCAATCCTAAAGTCTCAGCCAGATGGGATACCTGCCTAAGGATTTGGATTCCTACTCTCCTTTCAATAGACACTAAGAATAAAAACACAGGATGCTGTATTATTTTTTTTTCAGGTAGATCATCAACTATTAATTAGTCCAGCAGTCTCACACCAGTTGTCTCTGCAAGAGCTTTGCTACGTACATATATACAGTCATTATTTAACATGGCATCAGGTCTGTGAAAGATCAAATAAGACAAGAAGTCTTGCAAATACAAACCCTTACTTGAAATTGTAAGAAAAAGAAATCTGCAGTGATTTGGACATGTAACAAGAAGGCCTGGCATCCTTGCCAACCCCATCCGGCAGGGTGCTGTGGACGAATGAAGAGGAAGAGGAAGACCTGCGACAAGCTGGACCACCAACATCAACATAGGTGACTGGTGGGGGGAGTATGGGGGAGCACATGCCCCCTGACAGGGCCGTCCCCTCTGCCAACGTCTGTAGGTGCTCCATGTGCCCCCACAACAGGGTCACCCCTGCCACCAGCACCTGCGGATGCTCACCGGCAGTGTCTGCAGGTGCCCCACCCCAGACTCAGGAGGCACCAGTCGCCCATGAACATCAAAGACCGGATAGGATTAAAACTGATTGTACAAGGATTGCAAAAGACAAGGAAGAATGGAGGAAAGTTACTGCTACATCAAAGGTGCCCCAACAGTTAGTGCGGTCTTGGGACTGACTGACAGTCCTGTTTATCTTACTCAGGCACGATTTGCATGGAGGTTGACTAACACATTTCAGTTTACCCAGACAGATAACATCCCTTTCAGGAGTAAAACTTAAAATAAGACAGGAGACTTGAGAAACTTGAGTTAGGTGAACCTCAAAGTCTTTCTGCTGGACATTCCCCTCAAGGGACATGGCTCAGACAGCCTAAAAAGAGCACCAAATTACTCCCGTTCTTTTAATGAAGGCCTGGAGCTGAAGTCAATACTGCTAGCAGCTGTATTATGTTCACCAGATTGGTCACATAAAGAGTACTCCAAGATGGATGGCTGCTCCTCTTCCTTCTCCAGCATGCTGCAATTGCACTAACTGAGTCCCAGACACACACAGCGGGATTATTCAAGTTCTTTGGAAAGCAGGAACATGACACAGAAGAGCTATTTCTCCTTATCTGCTTTTACTGGCCTATCTCCATTCACTTTTTTCCCTTTTACCCATTCAGGTAGAGATGTGTGACTGGCCTCTAATCTTTCAGGCCTATTTCTTTGCATTATACCTGTTTCCTGAATAATGTTACCTGGCCAGTGCTTCTGTGGCCTTTACCAAGTTAATGAAGTAAATACAATGAAGTAGATGAGAAGGTGGTCAATGGATAGGGGGCACGGGGTGCTGGGAAATGAGGACGTTTCCCTATAGCTGTAAACATTCGCTTGTCAACCAGAATATTTTGATTTAGAAATGCTGCTATGATACCTAACAGAAGTTATAACCCTGCTGCCCCCAGGCTCTCAGGCTCCTCAGCAGACTGGACTCCTTGGTTTCCATGATCTCCCCACTGGTGAAGAGAAGTGGAGGATCATGGAGGCCCTCAATATATCATGAGAGCTGACCCCATAGAGAACATGCATCTGAGGCAGCAAAACAGTTGCCCTATGGCACTGCAGCACCATATCTGATTCATAACACACTTCAGGCTTTGGAGGTTTGATATTTTTTAAGGAAAAAAAAAAAGGAAAATTTCCCTGAGAAAGTAGACCCGTTGGGCAGAGACAAAGGTAATAATTGCACTGGTATAAAATGATAGATATAAACTGTTACGGTGCGTCCCCACAAGTGTGTGCATGCGTTTCCCCAGGGACAAATAGCAGCAGCACATAGTTGTGCCACAGCTATGTGGTCCCTGGGGAATGCCCCTGTATGCACGCTCTGGCATGCGACAAATTGCCCCGGGTGGGATAGGGGAGGCTGGAGCCAGCAGCTGAGCCTTGCCCGGGGTCCTGGGGCTGCAGCAGTGGCAATCAGGGTGCATGGAGCCTGGCTGGGTTTGGGTTTTGGGTTTGCACATGCTGCAGCCATGCACGCTTTTTTTGGGTGCAGGGTTTGGGTTTTTTTTACACTGGGATCTCCTGGTATCAAAAAAACCCACCGCACTGCTGATTAGTAGCGTGGCGAACAACACCTGCACACGTGGTGCGTGTAGTCTGTGATGCTACAGACTGGTTCGTGGTGCTGCAAACCACACGTGCACACTCAGGGGGATGCGCCCTTAGAGTGTAACAGTTAGGCCTATATGTCCCTCACACAAACAAAGTTAAAGCAACTTAAATTCATTTCTAGTGAATCTTTTAAAGCTCCAAGGCACCCTCTAACGCACATGAAATCAAAGTTCACACATGCACTACTACTTAAAAAAAAAAAAAAAATCTATTGTGCATTCAGCATCTCAAGATACACTTTGATTTGCTATGGCATAATGTTGTGGCTTGCCATTTCTAAGTAACCAGTTGCTTTGATATCATCCACCTAAGGTTAGATCCAAAGCTCATTAAAATCCCAGGGAAGGTTCCTAGGAATTTCCATAGACATTGGACTAGACCTATAACCAATATTTTTCCAGTTCACATATGAATTAACTACAGCCTCTTTATATTTAAGCGAAAGATAAATGCTTCCCTAGACCCACCTTCACCCATGCTTTGTAATCGCAATAATATGAAAAGACGATGAGTCTGTTCAAATCAGGCATGACTGGAAGTTGCAGTGCATAATGCAGGGAACCTTTGGAGTAGGAATGAATCCCATTAGGCTCTGCCAGTTGTAGTGAAATTTATTTTCATAAGCTGTGCTGAAAGCTGAAGTGAAGTAAATATTACGGTACAATCAATTCATTTAAAAATAATCTTTTGACAGCCGAGAGAAACAACAGAGCTAAAAATATTGCGAGGAACTAAAAAAAATACATATTTAAAACACGAAAATAGGAATTGCTAACTTCAGAAAACTTTATAAGCCACAATGGGATTTAGGCCTGAGTCCAGCAGTGCACTTAAACCCATGAATAAGCTGCATTTCTACGTCACTGTCAACCCGGGGTTTCTGAGCCCATGCCTGTGGAGTACACATATGCTGAGGTGCTTTGCCGGAGTTGGGCCCTTGATCAGAATTCCCTGCACAAACCTGGGTTCAAGCCCTGTTCTGCCTTCATAAATCTGAGCTTTTAACCAAGTTTCATGCATCCCTGACACACCACTTCTAACCCCAAATGTAGCTTTTCCCAGCCGTCTGTCTATATATACCACTTCCTCTTGGAAGGGTCTTTGAAGACCTCGAAATAGGTTGGGCACTGTACAAGAAGCGACTACTTCACTCAGCATCTCTTTTTCATCCCAGTGTCAACCTGACCTTTTTAATAATTTTTCTTTATAAAAAAAACAAGTCCTATATTCTGTTCTCCAATATACTCCCTGTTGCTTTCTTAAGCTTTACCTCATTTCAAAGTCAAAAGGCCATGCACCCTTTTAGGACACAGTCAAGCCAACACCAACAGTTACAAGGTGCAGAACAGTGGTTCCCAAACTGTTTTTTATTAACTTTTGGTCACATGGTCTCCATTTCCTGCTATGGAATTAAATTACCAGAAGCTAAAAATACATCAGTGCTTTTCTTTTATGAATTCTACAAACAATCAATCACGGTAGTTACCATGACAATGGATGCTACTGGATCACAAGGAGGAGGGTGAGAAATGGTCCATGAAAGAACCTTTCGGTAAACATGCTGGGCACGTTATGAAAAATATTGAGAAAGCCTGTATTTCGGCTAGACGCAGTTTGGGGGCAGGTACTGTCTACTAGGCACAGAGAATAGCACAATG